ACGTTTCGAAAAATCCCCCTCCCCTCTGAATCCAGGGAAAGGGGACGGCGACATACATATTTCGATTTTGGAAAAAAGAAACACGGATGGTGTTTTTGGTGTTGGTTTTATCGCGCGAAATCGAAACATCCGCAGGGGGACCTCGTGGCAGAAGAAAGAACGCAAACTATTTTGCCTACGAGCGAGACGAATTTCACTTTTAATAAACTTTTAATAACTGCCGGTTGATCGTATGAATCGCGGATTTATAGTATTGGAGGGGAGGGAGGAGGGAAAGAAGAGGGGTGGATCGCGATTCGCGCGACCGGACGCGCGTAAATCTGTCGTATCCTTTTTTTGTCAAACGGTCAATACGGCAACAAAGGATGATTCACGGCCCCGGTTACGGATGATGAACAGCGGTAAAGACACTACGCGGTGATAAAAACGTTCGTTTCTTTGGAGAACTTCCGGCGAACGTCGCCTCTTCCCTTCCGGTTCGCGTCGCAAACGGCAAAAACGGCACGGTATTGCACCCTTTTGATGTCTCTCGACCATCTTTTGGACAATATTTCGTTTAATTCGATTGTGTGTTGAAGTGGCCATTTAAATTTGACGAATTATCGAACGACGAATAGTTGAGTGAGGATCGTCGAGACGACGATTCTCTTCCCTTTTGGATTTGCATGGAGAAGTATTTGGTCGATCATCTTTTGGAGAAAAAATAATAAATAAATAAATAATAATAATAATAATAAATAATAATAATAATAAAATAAAAAAATAATAAATAATAAATAAATCTCATGGAGAATTTATTTACTTAATTCGAGGATAGCCAGAGTGTGACTTAAAGTAAAGAAAATTTAATGAATTATTAAATGGTAAAAAAGTGTGACGATCGTTGAGATGACGATTCTTTCCTTTTGGATTTGCGTGAAAAGTATTTGGAGAATTTTTTTAATTCGAGGATAGCGAGAGTGTGATTTAAATTAAAGAAAACTTGAATTTGTATGAAACGATAAATAATATGAAGATCGTTAAAGACGACGATTTTCTTTTGGATTTGCATTGGAATGAAAAGCATTGGTCGACAATGTCCGTCGATCATCTTTTGAAGAATATTTATTTAATTCGAGGATGACGAGTATGTCATTTAAAGTAAATTTGACGAATTATTTAATTAAACAGTTTGTAAATAGCGTGTTGAGACGACGATTTTTTCCTTTTGGATTTGTATGAAAAGCATTTGGAGAATTTATTTAATTCGAAGATAGCGAGAGTGTGATTTAAATTAAAGAAAACTTGAATTTGTATGAAACGATAAATAATATGAGGATCGTTAAAGATGACGATTTTCTTTTGGATTTGCATTGGAATGAAATGCAATCCGTCGATCATCTTTTGAAGAATATTTATTTAATTCGAGGATGACGAAAATGTCATTTAAAGTAAACGATTTCTATGAAAAGCATTTGAAGAATTTATTTAATTCGAGGATATCGATTCTTTCCTTTTGCGTCGCCTAGAAAGCACAGGTTGTCCATCACATAAGATCAAGTCATCTTTTGGAGAATATTTATTTAATTCGAGGATGCTGAGAGTGTCATTTAAAATAAATTTGACGAATTATTTAATTAAACAATGTGTAAATACCGTGTTGAAACGATTCTTTCCTTTTGAATTTGTATGAAAAGCATTTGAAGAATTTATTTAATTCGAGGATAGCGATTCTTTCCTTTTGCGTAGAAAACACAGGTTGTCCATCGCGTAGGATGAGTCATCTTTTTGAGAATATTTAATTCGAGGATGATGATGTTGACGTTAAAATATCACTTTATACAATGAAAGTCGTGGGATCCTCTTTCGAGAAAGGATATCGGTTCCATTGGAAGATGATACGACGTCGATATTTGAACATCTAAAACAAAGAGGAATGGACTCGTATAACCTCGAATAACCGGCGCAAAATGTTGTCACGAGTTTGAAAAGAGAGCGCACGGGTCCCTTCGTCGACCCGTTTAACGATTTTACGTCGTGAAATGACGGGGGATCCTGGCTGAAAGAGGAACGCCGCCTCGGCCTGACCGATTCGCTTATCCCCCCAATACATCAACCCAACTTTCTCGCGATTCTTCTTGCTCGTGAGCAAGAAAAAAAAAAAAATCCACGCAGGGAAACAACGCTTCCCTTTTTCCGTTCTCCATCCCTCTCCAGAATTCTTGCGATCCCTTCGAAAAAGAAAATACGCGACTTGCGATGCGATATTAGCGATGATTTTGGAGAAAAAAAAGAAGAGACGATTCTATCGTGATAGACGTGACAAGAGAGTGATTTTTCGAAAACGAAAAATTCGAAGCAACCGTGTATCCTGGGCCGGGTTTACGAGCTTGGGGAAAAAATCGCAAACGAATGAACAATTTTCCGCAGGATCTATCCGATTTCGAGTCGAGATTCACGAATACGAATTTCGAAGCGACGATAAAAGTTGCATGGAACGGCTACTCTTCGCTCTTCTTCGTTCAAAAGGAAAAAGAGGGAGAAAAGAAAAAAGAAAAAGAAGAGGGAAAAGAAAAAAACAAAGAAGAAAAAGGGGGAAGAAGAGACAATCGATATTTGAATGGATAAATAAAATTTCTTCACGAGTGCTCCAACACGGAACGGAATTACTACGGAATTACTTTTAGATTTTTATTTTTACATCCGTTTGTGAACGTTTAATAAAGCTGTGTTTACGAGGAGTGGTGTGAAGATCCGGAATGAGAAGGAGGAAAGGAAGGAGGTTAATATTTTTCCATATGGACGTTTGCTGCTCGATTTTTAAAGCGAATTCTAGCGAAATTCGAAGCTAAGGGGACAAAAAAAAAAAAGGAGGGAAATGAATATCGGTGTACGGATGATAAGTAGAACGAAGCGAAATGGAGAAAGAAAAGAGAAAGAAATACTTCTGGAAAATATTGTTTATCAAAAAGAAGAGAAATGAAGAAACAAGTCTTAGAAAGAAATAATACTCTTACTCTGAGAATTTCTCTCGTTCTTCTCCAAAACTGGAGGAAACAAAAAAAAAAAAAAAATGTCCATCAACCAAAAATGCTCTTCTCCTCGATCTATCGCAGAAAGATCGGATAAAATCGACGATGGAAAAAAATTTGAAAAGTGGACGAAACCGTGAGGTGAACGAGTGAGAGGGAGTGCTCTGTAAGGAAGAGAGAGAGAGAGAGAGAGAGAGAAATTCTTACCCGGATAGAACGAGAACTTACACGTCCGCCTAGGATTGCGAGTCACGGGGCACTGAGCTTACAAGACACATCCAGGCCAACACGGCGCTCGCAAACCTCACGACTCCTAACCTCGAGTTCCACGTCCATCCCCTTCCAGTGGCATCACCCCGCTCCCAACCATTCCCACACGATATTTTCCTTTCTCGTATGCTTCTTATTTCTGTGTTCGATCATTAACGAATTGTTTCTATCTCGAAACGATCGAATTGTGGTCAGACCAATCTTCCATCCTTACGATGGAAACTTCCAGGAGGATTCGATTTTTAAAAATATATATATATATACAGAGAAGTGGTGATGGTTTTCGAATCATCGAGCGGGTTAGAGTTAATTCCCAAAAACAGGGGACGTCAAATGAGTTAAATTGTTACATTTTACAGAATTTAAGTGAATCTTTATGCGTGAGTGAAAATACTTTTATTTATTTATTTATCTATTTCTACAAAGATAGCGAAAGTTTAATAATAAGCCACTCTCAAATGCGATTGGTGAAAAGAAATTTAAAAAAACTTTTCCCTAAAAGAAATTTTCCTTCATTAATGATCGCATAAATTATCTGAATATAAAAAAAAAAAAGAAAAAGAAGGGACAATAAAATTCCGATATTTAAAAAAAAAACATATATGGAGCCCGAAAATAAATTTGCATAATAAAAAAAAAAATCTACGTAACGAGTTAACAAGGTCACGATTTAACAAGAAGGTCAAAAGGGGAAGGCTAAAGGGAATCAATTGCACAAGGTGGAAGCTATTACCTCCGGAACAGATTCTATTAAGAGTTTCCCCAAGAGCTGGAACTTATCCGTTGCAACGGTGTTCGAAGAAAACGATCCCCCCTCCCCGCTACGAGATAAAGCTCTGCCTCGATTAATGTTGTTTAAAATCAAAGAGAGATACTTACTTCTCCGGAGGAAGGCGTGCTCGATTACCATTTTCGATTAACCATATCGCTTCTGCAAACTATTGGGACAGAGAAAAAAAGTGTGACGATAAACTTCTCGTTACCTTTAATAGGGAAACATGGCGGAGCAGGAACATGGTTGCCGATACCAAAGTGATCAACACTTTCGAGAACGACATTGGTTGGCGTCGGAGGAACGAAGCGGAGGAGGACGTACGTTTCGAGGGAAATTGAGCCGGACCTTGACCGACACCCGCCAATTTCTCGATCGCCTATTGGCGTATTTCTCATCGAAGGGGCGAAAAGGCGAATGGCAATGTTCCCACGCTTATCAATCTCGGCGATGCGCGGATTATCGCCTCGCTTTGTTTCGAAAATCCTCCTTACTTATAATTCGTTCCCTCCAAATATTTTAAACACATCGATACATGCACGCGATTGATTCAATCAATCGTCTTGAAATGTAAGGCTTTGTTTAAAGAACGTGCAATAAAGAATATAACTTTCTCTATCAATTGTTAATTTTCTTTCTGCGTATTATTCTTTCTTATTATGCTTTACAATCAATGGTCAAAAATCTACATAAATTATAAAGAATATATATAAATTTCCATTATTTTTTTCACGCTTTAAAATTTGAAAAATCTGAAAAATATTTTTTTACAATAGGACAATGGACATTAAAGTCTAATTAAAAAATTGCATGTTTATCGATCTATTTTGGTCTACGTATCGATCATGTTTCGTATAAAACGGAATTATTGTTGATTTTGATAATCGTTCGCTCTTACTTTCTCGTAAAATCGATATTTAAAAGATTAAAATTCCAATTATCTTTACCTGACAGAAACCCCATAATTTCTCTCGTTCTTCCTCTCCTCCTCGATCCTCGCGAAAAGTCCCTCGCAAAGGCGTGGCGTGAGCCCCGGATCTTCCTGGAAAACAACAACAACGCCATCTTCAATCGTTTCCCCATCTTTCTTCCCTCCAAAAACGCAATCGAACACACCATCGCGGGAGAATTACGTATCGTTAAATAGCGGAATGTCGTCGGAATGTCCCGCGGCGATCGAACGACTCCATTTCCCATAATTGAAATCGAACGTGCTCAACGTATCAACCGCAACACGTGCCTCGCTTTTAAAAAAATCCTCCACACGCCCAACCTTTGTAACGCGGCCGCCACGAAAGCCGGCGGACAATTTAATTAAACGTCGCAAAAACAGTTCCAATTTATCGGTCCAAATTCGTCGAGGAGCCGAGGAAAAAGGAAAAAACAAAAAATATTGGCTCCGTTTCCCGCCAATATAGTTTAGGCAACCGGAAATCGTTACGCCCTCCCCTCCTTGTTTCGAATTATGCGCGCGAAATTTGATCGCTCGCTGACTTATCGACGGGTAAAAGCGAAAATTAAAGTTAAATTGCGATTGGAAAATTCGATTCGATATCGATAAATTAGATAATCGAAGTATACCGAGTTGGAAAGATTTTCTTCTTCAGAAGGATATAATAGGATGAAGCAAAAATTTTTAGAAATAATAATAATATAGATATAATTTTAGAAATAATAATAATGGAAAAGTGAATTTATTTTTTTTTCCTCGATGCTTCATCGGTATTGTGGTTGTTTCTTCAGAAGGGGAAGCGTTATCATCGATCTACTGGACGATACGGTACAAATCGAGAAATTTAAGATGAAATGACAAATAACATAAAGCCTCGAATGAAAGTTATCTAATAAAAATTTAAGTAATTTGAGTTAATGGAAAGATGAAACAATGGAAAGAGATTATCATTACCTTGGTCCCCATCATGGTGTAAGTTTTCCCGGATGCGCTTTGCCCGTACGCCACCAGGCAGGAATTATAGCCGGTGAAAACGTTGTCCAGAACAGTCCTGCCAAGTGTTTGGTAAATGCTTGCCTGGTCCGCGAAATTCTGCGCAACTGGATTCGACGAGTCGAAGCAATAATCGAAACCATATTTTCGAATCCTCTCTCGGCTGTCTCCGGCTTTGCTCGAAGATACTTTCAAGTTCGTTAACGAGATCTCGTTCGATTCTGTGTGGACGACCACCTCTGACCCCGTTAAATTCGACTCTCTGTATGACGAAAAAGAAAAAAAAAAAAGAAAAGAGAGAAAAGAAACGAAAAAAAAAAAAATGTATTACGTTCGACAGGAAAAGAAAAAGGGGAAAAAACAACAAAACCGGACGAACCCATAGGCTTGTTTACGAAGCGAAAAATTCATTTTTTTCGTCTTTTTTATCGGACAGAGACACGGCAAAAAGATTCTTTCTCCCGCTCGTTTCGCAGAAACTTTTTTTTTTTTTTTTTTTCCTCCGCGTTCCCTGGATTGGAATCGAGTCATCGATGCGTGTACCTATATGCATGCATCGCTTTTTTTATACGAGAACGTGTCAAAAAATTCCATTGTCCATTTTGACAATTTTTTTTCTCTCTCTCTCTCTCTCTCTTCATCCGTCCAATCCTTTATCCGTGTTTCTAATTTTCTTAAGGTTATGATTATGATTATGATAGTTAATTCTCCACCACGACGATTTTTGTTACCTTCAACCGCGAATGGTTAATTGACTCTCTTGATTTAATTCCATCTTGAAAAAAAAGGAAAATCGATAATCGAGCGAAACTTTAACAAAGTTTCTTTCAACCTTCGAATTTCCAACGCTCTTGTCGAACTTTGTCTTCTGGTGTGGATCATCGAAAGATCGTCCCATCGATCTGACGAAAATGGAAGAAAATTTTTATCGATTTTTATATACGATTTCTCATAATATTGAAGTTTGTATTATTCTATTTAATAAAGTTTAATTCTCTTTGCTTTCTTTTTTTCAATTTGCTTTACACGAAAGTTGTATGTATATTTGAATATTACGAAAGGAATTGTAATATTCTCAAAAAAATATTGGAGAACGCTGAATGAATATATCACATTTAATTTTTAATGGAAAATAAAATGCGATTTACTCTTTCGTATTATCGGTTATTAATCTAATTTACGATCCATCCATCGCTTTTATTACAAAAACGACAATCACACCCACACACATACATATACTTTCTCGCATGTGACACTGAGAAAACAAAGCAAAGTTAAAAATACTTTAAAAAACTCTATCCTCGCGTAATTCTATCAGTGTAACTAACTAATCACTATGATTTTGTTGCCTCATATTCATATTTTTATGTAATTGTTAACTATTTTTATATGCTTCTTTAATAAGTGTGGATTTGAGAGTGAAACAATCGAAAATTATTTTATAAAATTATTTATTTTTCGTAAGCAAAATATATCTGTTACTATCTCACTCTCTCAACGCGAAAAATATTTTCGAGAACGAATTTTACTCTCGAATATACGTATAAAACTTGAAATATCGATGAAAGTAAGTTTATTATTGATAATGCTTCCTCGACGATCGTTTCGAGAGAGAGAGAGAGAGAGAGGAATAAACCGCTATGATGATGCTATCTGATGCGAGTATCCAAATTACACGATTTCTTTTTCAACAACGCGAGAATTTAAAAGAAGAATCGAATCTCCAACGATCCTATCATCGATCCAAACTTTTATCGATCTATTATTCGTTTCTCATTTCTTCACATTTCGTAAATTTGTATCGATCAATTCCATCTGATTTCACGAAAAAATTCGTGAGAACAGAGAACCAACTACCGATCCAGTTCATCTTTCATTCGGCCTTTCAGTCGAACATCTTCTCGAACGAAATACAAAGGAATACAAAGTTATTCATCGTGACGAAAAGTATCGATCGATGGAGACCTCGAAGTAGACCTGAAAAAGTAACTAATTAAAAATTTCGAATAAACTTTAAATAATTACTTGTTATAAATGCTTGTATAACATTATATTTTAATTATATAGTTCTTCGTATAATCTTCAATCATTTGAGTACAATTATTATTATTACGCTTTGAATAATAAATTAACCAAGTTTAACTATTAAATTTTCCCCATCATTGATGGAGGCTTATAAAAGCAATAAAAAATCCTCGAAGATCTTGAATGAATCTTCGTCCTTCTGGAGAGGCGCCGCGCCGCCATGCAGATCAGTCACACACAAGTGTTATTCTAGAAGAGATGATATCTCTCTCTCTCTCTCTCTCTCTCTCTCTTTCACTAGATATTTCTGTTTCAAGTCGTTAAACTGTCTAACCGTGTATCATCAGCGTGTCGCGCTGCCCCTACTACGTCACTCCACGTATCGGTCGATCCTTTATCGCAAGAGCATCCCCTGGATCGGGTATGGCCTCTCTTGGAAATTCGTTGCTTTAAATAAACTGCTCGTTCTCTCTCTCTCTCTCTCTCTCTCTCCCTTTCTCACGTCGCGGCCCTTAAGTCGTAAGTGGTAATTTTATTATTCTCTTGGCTGAATGAAGACGAGTTTCCTCTCGAAGTCATTGTCAAATCGATATAAATAGCTTTCTCATTTACACTTTTACATTATTTTAATTATTAATTAATTATTAATTATTAATAATAATTAATATTTAATTATTTTACAGCATCATTTCTATATCGAACGCAAGGATTGTTATTATATAATTTACTTGTCCAACGACAAACAAACCTTCTTCGTCAACGTAAGTGCACCAATCAGTTTAATTTATCTTACCGTTCTCGGCCCCCTTTTTTCCGCCATCATTTATTAATACTTTTATAATTTTTCACTTCTACATTGAGAATAATTCACTTATTCCAGGTATAATAAAACCTTTTTCTTTGAATTTCTTTTTTTTTTTTTCTTTTCTTACAATAATCGACGATTCGATCCCATGATTTCATCGTCGATTATTACGGGTTTATCACGAGCTCGACCGATTGTCAGTTCATCCCGCTTTCGTCTTCGGCCCCATCTTCTAAGTATAGAAACGAGTTCACAAGTAGCGAGTCAAAGGCGCGCCTGGTTCGCCCTTAATAAATCCTCCTCCCCAGATTCCCCTCTGTCCCTCCCGCACGCGACACGAAATAATTAACTATTCCCCGCGAGGGAATAGTTTTCCTTATCCTCCGTGTTTCAAACAGCCACCGGATTCAATGTAAAAGCTCGTGGGGCGAAATGCCTCGTAAGGAAAATTGAAATTGCGGCGAGCAACGAGACGCCATAAACCTTGACCTTAGCTTCCAGCTAAGAGAAAGAGAGAGAGAGAGAGAGAGAGAGAGAGAGAGAGAGAGAGAGAGAGAGAAGCATCGTGCGCATATCGGGAGCACGGGGAAGAGGGACGTGGTTTCCTCGGTCGGTTTTTGCTTGTTTCTTAAAATACATCGAGCGAGCAGATAAAATACAGAAGCGGGCAGAAGGCGAGGTTCCCAATGGCAAAAGCAGGCAGGTCGTGAAATTGTAAATACTTAATATTTTTTTTCATTCGTTCGTTCTACACGATTCGTCCAACTTTCATTTTCAACCGTATTAAACTCGATTGTATGGAAATATAACGAATAAACGTTGAAAATTACGCATTACGATCATGATTTTCGCTTGAATAATTGCAAGAAAGTAATAATTACTCCCCCCTCCCTCCTCTTCAAAAACGATTCTCTTCGAATTCTCTCTCACTCAGGATGCAGTAAATTTCGAGATTCGATAAATTAAATTACCTTTCGAATATTTCAAATACTTTTCCCACGAGTGGTCACACGACGAGATCTGTTCACGATGTCTCACTCACCTGGCGGAAATCGGTCTTACACGGACTGCCACCTTGATGTTCGCCATATTGCCATCGCGTGGACGAGGATAATCAGCTGGCGGCCTCAGTCATGGCCTCAGTCGACGTACGCCTTGTAATTCCCTTATAACCCTTCGATATCGGCTGGCAAGAATAAAAAAAATGGAATGGGGATACCGATTACGACGAGACGTCGAAAGATGGTGGTCCACGGTTACGCGTTAGACACATTTTGCGGCGTATTGATAAACACGGAAAGGAAGCGAAGTCGCGCGGCTTACCGGCCGGGCGCACGTGTTGTACTGTCGCGATGAAAATACTCTCGAGTCGCTTCCAAGACTATACGCCGATGCTTTCGCCCCACCCAGAGAGAACTGGTAAATAATACGCAATATTTTGGCCGCGCACAACCTCCAGCCACGCCGTTTCCATTCCAATTCTCTCTCTCTCTCTTCGTTAATTGTTTGTTTATAAATCGTTCGAGGAAATCTTCGCTCTATGAGGATAACGATTGCTCGCTCGTGTTTCGTATATTTCTTGGAATAATTGAGAAACCAATGTGTAACGCCATTGGTAAACGTAGCATGTCATATATGATATAGATACTCTGGTAATAAGCCTAATGTTTGGTAAACACGCTTAAGCAAATATCTAGCGTAATATTATGAGCGTTAGTTTACTTCGTTCAATGTATGTAGTGTGTGCGTATGCGTGTGCGTGTGTGTGTGTGTGTGTGTAGCGTGTATTACACGTGCTACTACGTTTTCTAATCTCGTAAAAAAGAAAGATTGAATCTTGGAACTCCTCGTCGAAGGAGGGATTTATATTTATATGTAACGCGTCGAATGTATTAAATTATCGATCGTCATTATCAATTTCTATCGTATATTGTAAAAAATTTATCCGAATCGATTTTTGGTCTAAAAAAAAAAAATCTATCGATCTTAAGCAACAAACGTGGTGGACTACACGCTACAACGTTCACATACGACATTTTGTTTTACACGATATTTTTAGGCTAGTGGATCTAACTAAAGTACATATATTCTCCGTTGCAGGTTGAGTCATCGAGAGACGCCGTCTATCCGAATCGTATAAAACGTGTAGAACCGTTCGTGCTCCTAGTCATTTTTGGTGGCTGTGAGCACCGTGAAGTACGAGAACGACGTGCTTAGAACCTGGAAAACGCATAAAGGATCGACAAGAAGAAAACGTCACGTTTCCTCCCCTTATGATATAATTAAATAATACTGTCGATCTCGAGAATGATCGAGTTTGAAAAGGAGTTTGAAAAAATGAGAAGTCACTCACCGCTGAGAAACTCTCCAAGGACATGCTGTAGAATTTCGCCGCTGTTATCTTGCTGGGAATCTTGGAACGCATCATCATGATCTGGACGCTTTTACGGAAACGGCTGCCGATCCATCCGCTGTTGTATGCCGACTCGCCTATCCCCTCGCTCTGCGTCATATAAGTCGATGCATCACATTATTACTTCCCTGTAACTCGAACGAATCGCAATAAAATCTTGAGAGTAATTCGATCGATTTGTTTGTACCTCGTCGATCAACCCGTTCCCGCTGAAGCTGAACATGAACAGCTCGAGAATGGCGGAGTTGAGAAAGGTGGAATATTTCATCAGCCGACCCTTGTTCTCCATCATCTGCAAATATTATTCTTTTCCTTTTTTTCTTTTCTTATCAACGCTCAACAACGTTGAGCAGAGAACGCACCGAGGTGATCTGAAATCCGGCGAAGCAAATCAATCCCGTGCTTATGACGAATTGTCCCAAAGCGAGCACGTTTATGATCCTTTCCAAAGTGTCCGCGAACCTGTGAACAGATTGATCTCTATCTTCGTGGAACGATTCCCTGTACGCGAAAAAATTTCCGCGTCGATCGATTAAAAAAAGAAAAATGATCGATATTTGATTTTTTCTTGTTTTAATTGACGCCAACTTGATCGCTTGCTGGTGACGAATCACGTTGTCCCCCATGATCGAGGTGGAGTTAGGTTCGGCTCCGCTCAAAGCCTCCATCCTTCTCCTGAGGACGGCAAATTTGCCCGAGCCGTGTATTATCACCACTAAATTGAAACTGGTTGCGCCTGCGATCATGCTTCCGCCAAATCCGCCCGCTGTTACGTTGAACAGATAGAGAAATTCGAAAACCGGTGACACGGTTTGATTGATGAAGAAATATCCTCGAAATGGGAGCACTTTCTCGCTATTACCGATCACGTAAATCTGAAAGAAACGTGGTGGGACAAATAAGGGCTCTTTCAAATTTTCAAACCGTTTATTTATTTATTTATTTTTTCTTTTCCGCTGATTTCGAAAGAAAGAGAAAAAAAAGAAGAAGAAACGATTCGATAGCGAAATTTTTCAGTTTTCACCTCCAAAACTGGAACGGACATGAACATCACGATTGTTATTGCGACGGTGGTGATAAAATATTTCGCGAGGCGGAAAGCGAACATCGTTTTCTCGGCGAAAATGAGCCGATCCTGGTCCGAAGATGAGATCCAATCCTGTTTCATCGTGTTCACCACGTAGAGCATGTCCTTCTGATGGAACGAATACACGAGCAAGCGAACCACGCAAAGGTAAAAAGCTGTGCAAATTAACGCGCATTCGGTCGCTTCGTCCAGATCATCTATATTGTGAATCACGTCGGCTGTTACCGCGATAGACATCGCGATCACCTGAAAATTTCATCGGTTGTTCCACGATTATTGATACGAAATTTCGCGAATCGTACGAGTATATTTGAAAATAAAATTGATGTATCGACGATTGATCGAAAAATCAAAAGTTTCTTCAAAATTGTCCATAAGAATTTTTGGGGGAATTTTATTGTCGAATATATTCGAATTATACGATTAAGAAAGATGGCACTTACTAGGAAAAACATGCAGAACAAGTGAAATCTTCTAAACGTAATCTCTATCCAACTGCTATTCTCTGCCAACGGCCATATAGAAATGATTTTTCCAGTTATCATTATTGGTTTAATCAATTGATCGTATTCCTCGTTACGGAACTCACTCATTTTCTCGATATATATATGTGTGTGTATGTATATATATCTCGAATGAACTTATTTATTTAAAAAGAAATCGCACGATTTATGTTAGAACAGATATTTTTTTTTTTTTCTTTTTTTTGCAATACGATTCATCCGATCAAATGGTTTGTTTCATCGTATTCCGGAGGAACTGCGAAAAATGTTGCAGAAAATATCTAAGGCGAAATCGATCGTAACATAAATGACAGTTATCGCGTAATGGGTGGATCACGACAATTCGTAGTTTACGAAAGTTTATACAAGTAGGTATTACGTGTAACTTCTTTTCGCTGAGACTTCTCGAATAATTTCGTATTCATATAAAAATATAATATATCTGGTATATTATCTTCTTTCTTTTTTTTTTTTTTTTTTTTTTTGCAAAAATTGCAATGCACGCAAAAGTTTCATAGTATACTTGGTATATTTTGAGGGAAAGTAGTAAAAAGATATCAGGAACAGTTGAAATTAATTCATGGTTCATAAAAAATTTATTTTTACGCAATACTTACCGTTTATAATATTTAAATATTTAGTCATTTTTAAACTCTGATTATTCTATAACTATTCTATTCGTTAGAATAGAATATTTTAATATAGATATAAAGGAATTTTTAAGCAAAGAATCAAAGCTTAAAAATATAATGCCGTCTCTTGAATGAATTTTGCAGAATAAGTATAGACAAGGAGAACAAATAGTAAAAAAAAAGAGATAGAGATAGAATAAAAATATTGAAATCAGCGCCATCTCCAGAGTGCCGTAAATGAAACTAAATAAATAAGAACAGCAAATAGTGAAAGAAGGATAGAGATATAATAAGAATTGATTATTAACGCCATCTGTGAAGTATTGAAGATATTTCTTCAAAAAATCATGTTTCTAAAAGTATTCAAAAGATGACTCTGGCTTTCAATTCTTATTCTATCTTATTCTATCTTTGAAGATATGTATGATTTCTTAGCTCGATCAATTCTTACTTTATTTCTATTCTTTTCTCGTTTTTTTCTATTCTTCCTTTCTATTTCATTTGTAGCATTCTGACTCAACAAAATAAATTTATTAATGATATTACGTCTTTAAAAAATTGAAAAGATTGAAACTTTTTTATGTGAGTGGAAAAAGTTCAATATTTTTCAAAAAGATGGCATTACTAGTCAAAAATTATTAATATTTTATTATCGATATCAATATACGATAAATTTGAACACTTTTCGAATAGATGGTAATAGATTACTAGTTAAGTGCTAAAGAAAATACATATGTATATAAATGACTATATTTTACTACTACTATTTTATGTACATATATAATATATACAATAAGACTTTTCTTATTTGGCGAACTATAAAAGATTTCAATCAATTAATTTCAAATTATTCTTTAAAATTTAAATTTTAATTTTATTTTTTATTTCCAAAAACTAAAAAGATTTTAAGAAATGTTCGAATGTTCAACAATTCATTGAATAATAAGTATTAAGCTTTTTATATAATAGAATTATTGATGTAGAGTAATAATTAAAATAATATTTAATTTATAATACTTTCTAATATTTTAATAAAAATTGGAATTTTAATCATTTTTTTTTTTTTTTTGTTTGAATTTCATTTAAAAATATTCGATATGAAAAAATATTTTAAATTTTAGCTTCATTTCATTAAAACGATACTCATATTACGATACGCATGTGCAAATTTATAGCTTAGTCAAAGTTACTGTTCATAACCTATGAAAAGTAAACTGTAGTTTTATAATTGTTTGATATATATTGATATAAGACATGTATCATCAAAATAAAAATTGTCATTTAAATTAATTATAATAATGGCTATACCTCCTTCTTTTGGTCTTAGCGATATTGTACATTTAAACGTTGGTGGAACAAGGTATAAACAAATATTTAATTACCTTTGAAAACTATCTGATAAATAATTTGTTTTAATTGTTAATCAATAATTAAATATTATCATATAATTTGAAATTTTTTTTATTTAGATGAGTTATTTTTATAATTATCTAGAATTATTTATTATTTAGGTTCTCAACATCAAAGCAAACATTAACATGGGTTCCAGATTCATTTTTTACAGCTTTATTAAGTAATAGAATTGCCAGTCATAGAGATGAAATTGGTGCATTATTTATAGATAGAGATCCAAAATTATTTTCTATTATATTAAATTATCTTCGTACAAAGGATATTGATTTAAAAAATGTAGATCTTCGTACATTAAGACACGAAGCTGAATATTATGGTATTATACCATTAGTTAAAAGATTAATGTTATGTGAAGATTTAACTCAGTCATCTTGTGGAGATGTTTTGTTTTATGGTTATTTACCACCACCAAGTAAGATTAAATAATCTTTTTTCTTAAAATAAAAATAGATGAAATAAAATATATATATATATATTCTACATATTGCAATTGAAAAGGTATACCATTACAAGAACCTACTACTGTTGCATCAAATATAGGAGATGTATCTGTTCATGGTAGAATTCCTACTAATAATATTAATTCAAGAGTAGATGTACCATCTACATCTCAGAATCCAATTCCTGGAACTTCAAATAACCATAATAATAATGGTATTAAACTATTAATAAATTTAGTTTAGTTAATTAAAATTATATATATATATATATATATATATATATATATTTATTTATTTTTTTCTAGGACAACAAAATCATAAAGGAATACTTAATAGTCACATGCGAAATTCTTCATTAGATTATAGAATTCAACAGAAAGGTTTACCACATTCACGCACATCATCTCTAGATTTAAGACATGTTAGGAACAATTCAGCAGATTTAAATAAATTATATAAAAATGATATTAGTTTAGTATTTGGACCTCAACAAGGTAAATAGTTACATATATTATTTAATTATGAAAAAAGTTTTTAACAAATCTTTTTATAGTTTCATCATGGGTTGATCCTTTAAGAGTTCAAATCATAAAAGCACATCATAATTGGATTGTGATTGCTTATGCTCATTTTATAACGTGTTATCGACTTAAAGATTCATCTGGTTGGCAACATGCATTTACAAGTCCTCACATAGAATCAGTAATTGAAAGAGTGGCAATAACATCAAAATTAAGTACTAGTGGAGATGTTAAAATGGTTGCTATTTCCTATGGAAATCAAGTCAGACTATGGAGTATTTCAGCAAATGGAATGAAAACTAATATTGGCACATTCAATTTAAATGTTCGTGTGGAATATTTATTTTTTATTGGAAGCCAGTTAGTTGCTTTATCTCCTACTGATAAAATTGGTGTATGGCATGCTATGACACATCATTGGCAAATACAAGATGTAGTACCCATTTTATCATTTGATACAGCTGGTTCATTTCTTTTATTAGGATGCAACAATGGATCTATATATTATATTGGTAATTTAAAATTTAAATAAGGTTAAGTAAAAATTATTTTCATAATTAAAATATATAAAATTGATTTTCAGATATGGAAAAATTTCCTTTGAGAATGAAAGATAATGATTTACTTGTAACTGAATTGTATCGTGATCCAAATTATGATCCTATTACAGCTATATCTGTATATTTAACACCAAAAACATGTAAGTTCTTATATTCATTTTTATCATATCATGATATTGTTTAAATAAATAAATAAACATATAAATATATATATGAAAATATATATATAATAAATATAAAAATTGAAGGTAAATAATAAGTAACTTATAGTCATAACATTGAATATTACAGTATTTCTATTGCAGAAATATCTTTTCCAGTGACGTACAAATAAATGGACTAACATTTAATTATTAAGTCCGTTTGTATTGAGGAATGTAATAACAAACGTCACTTTTATAATTTATATAAATTTTATTTTTTAATATTTTTTAATGATTATACAATTAATATGATTATACAATTTAATAGTTACAATTAGTAATTGACTAATTTTATTGTGTAAATTTCATTATATATTTGTTCTTTGTAATAGAAAATATATTTTTTTCTTAATTAAACACATCAATAAGTTTTATTTTAGATACAAATATTTTATCTTCTATTACGAAGTTCAATAATATATTTGAATATTAATATGAGTTTATTATTACATTCTTTGCTTCATGATTTCGTACAACTGGATAAATAGCACAAGGCAAGTATGGGTCAATATAACAATGTTCTACAATATTTTCACTTTCAAGTCACAATTTAAATTGACATATATTTTACTACATTTTATATAACATTGAACATTCTGCATTATTTTGATTAGTATTCATACCCTTCCTCTCCAGGTATAATATATTATTTTTATATATATTATTTTATTATAATATATTATCACAATTGTGCACAAATCCATATTCATGTACATATTATTTTTAATGGTATTTTTATTAAAACTAGGTATATGTATACATTAAAGAAATAATTTTTATTTATATCATTTTAAATTAGAATAAAAATATGTAACAAAATAATATATATTCAACAAACTATATAATCATAAATATATAGGGATTATATACTCAAAACACTTATTTTATCTTATTGCACACCCCCACTATCCTTATGCATCCAGTTGTACTTATAATATTTTTATATTCTTTTGCTTTACTACTCAAGTGACATAACACCTTTATGGATCTGAGAGGGGAAGGGAATAGATATTATGTACCTCTGCTTGCATAATTATTCTTCATTTCAAACAATTCAAAGTACATATACATAAACTATAATTTTACATACATTGTAAATATTATATTTATTGCTTTTATTAGCATATATATACATAAAATTTTATTAAAATATAAATAATATACTTCTTTATAGTTAAAAAATTTTTTATGAATTTACTACATATTCTTTCTTCATCATGGCATAACGCATGTAATATCTATGTAGGTCATTTATTATGTACTAACAAATTATATATTATACACATTATCTTATATATTATAAGTACATATTTTTTTCATTATTACAATTTTTAATATATGTAATGTTGGTATTGTGTCATTTATATTATATATTGAGAGATGTAGTTATATTAAAAATTTTTAATGTTTTGAATAGAAAAGATATACTGTAATTTTAATTTTTTTTATACAGCTGTTTGTGGTAACTGGATAGAAATTGCATATGGCACAAAATCTGGCAGCGTTAGAGTTATAGTTCAACATCCTGAAACTGTAGGACATGGTCCACAATTATTTCAAACATTTACAGTGCATCAAAGTAGTGTAACAAAAGTATGTTTCTTTATGAAATTATATATATTAAAAAAAAAATTACAAATTATTTATATATATTAAATTATACTACAGGTAACATTGTCAGAAAAATATTTAGTATCTGTCTGTTCAGAATATAATCATGTTAGGAGTTGGGCAGTAACAAGGTTTCGTGGAATGATTTCTACTCAACCTGGTTCTACACCCGAAGCTAGTTTTAAAATCGTATCTTTAGAAGCAATTGAATCTTGTATTAGTTACAATGCTGGAAATGATTTTGGTATGTTATATAATATAATAGTGAAAATGATTTTAATATTATTAATGGATAATAATTATACTTGAAATCATAGGACCATTTGGAGAACAAGATGATGAACAAGTCTTTGTTCAAAAAGTTGTACCTGAAACTGATCAATTATTTGTACGTTTAGCATCAAATGGAAAGAGAGTTTGTGTAATTAAATCAGTGGATGGTAGTATTATAAGCTCATTTTATGTACATGAATGTGAAGGATCTAGCCGTATGGGTTCAAGACCAAGACGTTTTATATTCACTGGACATTCTAATGGGACTATTCAAATGTGGGATCTTACAACAGCTTTAGAACCTTCTTTTTCTTCTACTCAAAGTAATTCATATTAATAGTAAATCATTATTTTTTTTTTTTTTTTTTTTTTGTTTAATGAATTCATTAACATCATATCACGAATATTGATTACAGATGTCTCTGGTGGACCTACACCAGAAGAACTTTGGAAATTGTTAGACCAATGTGATTTAAGTAATAGTCATTCCTCAACACCATGTATTAGTCCATGTCCATCACTTATATCTACAGGTCCAAGTATAAAAACCAGTAATGTACTATTTCTCAATCAGTCACAAAATTCTGATGCAACACCTGGACCTAGCCAAACATGAAGGTAATATAAAAAAAACATTTTATAAAAATTTATAAAAATAATGTTTTATGTCCAAAAATGATTCATTTATTTTAAAATATTAATAAAAAATATTTGCAGTTACAGTTTCTAATATAATATTTTGTTAATATTTTTAATTTTAACAATAATTTTTAAAAAAAAAACAGTCTCACTTATAAGTAATGCAATATGAAAGTGATATGATAATTAAATTATAATAAATTTCTAAAGATTATAACGATAAAATAATTATTAAATAAGTGTATTAATAAAATACAAAAAATAATATGCACTTTCTTTGCATTACTTAAAATATTCTAAAATACATTCTATATTGTTTTTAAATAAATACTATAATATCATATAAAATAATATATGTATAACTTTGATTACTCTAAAGTAGAAAGTTTTACAATTGTATATTTTTTTTATATTATTATATTATAAAAAGAATGAATTTATTCATGTTAAAAATTCTGCTTTTTAAATTTATTTAAAATATATAAAATTTTATATTGAATAAATTTTCAATTTAAAATCTAAATATTTATATAAACATTTATATTAAACAATTCAATTTTTTTTCTTTAGAAAAAACTTATATTATTAACAATAAATTGTGATTAAAATGTATATGATCAAATACATATTTTGCAAGATAGATATAATAATAAATTAATTTGATCTTTCCACATTAAAAGATATTTTAATAACTAAACTTTTATACATTTTTTTTGTTTTTTTCTAGATAAATAGCTGTACACATTTATGGCAAATATTATAATACTGCTATCTGTTAATTCTGTAATTTCAATAAACAGTAAGTGTATTGTTAATTTTTTACATGAATGTAAATAGGTTTTTATACATGTAAGTAGGAATCAGTTAAATAAATTTAAAATAAATATTCATACATTGTACATTATGTCAGAAAAAATTCCCAAAAACATACATTTTTATGGAAATAACTCTTTTTTTATCAATTCAAGATAACGCACTGTTTATTATAACAATGTTATATCTTTTTAATTATACAATATTTCATTAACATCTTCGTTTACGAAACTTTAAGAACTTTGCCTAAAATTTTATTGGCATTTAAGATATCACTATGTAAATTGAATTAAATTTGAGGCACTACGGTGATTTTATATCAGTTCTATATTGCATGATTAACTTGCTTATAGTAACTTTTTTACACAATGATCATCTTATACAAAACATGATCAGAAATAAAAAATAAAAAATTTTTCATTGTACAATCTGATTAGTTTCTAACTTATAAAAGTACTTATTTTATTTGATAAAATTGTATCTATATATATATAGATATGATTACATGATATATATATCATGTAAATTGCAAAACAGTCTCGTTAACATGTATACAATTTATTAAGTAACAGTTCCTAAAAAATATCATGCAATATAAATTCTTTAAATAATATTATTGAGCTAGACTAATTTTTCTCTTATAAAAATTGTACATAACATTAATGATATTATTGCAAATAAATCATATTCATATAAAATTTTTATGCCAAAATAAATTATTATAAAATAATCTTGGATTTGTCATTGGTGTTAATAAGAAACACCAAGCTACTAATCCAATTACAAACAAAGAAAACAAACCAGCTCTTTTTAATGGATCTTTAACTGCAACTACTTCAGAAAGATCAGGACATCCCATATGATTACAAAAAGAATGTGCTGTAAATGGTGCTGCTAAATGTCCTAAAAAAATATTAATTTCTTTAAATAAAAAGTGATATATCAAATTATAGTAATGTATTTTATTACAATCATACCTGTTTTAGCAAAAAGAAAAGCAGCATATGCTCCAAATAATGTCGTAAACGCAAATTGAAAACCTATATTAAAAATTTATTATTATATAAATATTATAAATATATTATAAATAATTAATATATTTATTAAAATTAAAATAAAATTAAAATAAATACTTACAAGATATAAATAATGCATGTTTAAGATTCATGCCTGCTTTTACTCTATCTACTACATGATGAAAATGAGCGACACCAAAAAATAAAGGGCAGATAAATATGGCAGTAGTAGGTGTAAAACATTGCAAAAGCAATGGTAACATACATGCTCTAAATGTCCATTCTTCAGCCAAAGGAGCAACTACTAAATTTCTCCACCATATTATTGTTCGCACACTTCCAAACCAATACATAGGTTCTAAAAAGATTAAACATAAAGATCTAATATTTATTTAATAATTTAATTTAAATCTTTAATTATTTAAGAAAAGATACATATTGTACATAATCTATCTAAAATATTCAATATACAAATATATATATAATCAATATACAATTTATTTAAAATACTAACCAGTATATAATCTCCAAAGTCCATTGAAACCTTGTACACATATTGGCCCTAGAAATAGTATCATTGTTAATAACAATGGTATTATAATTGCTTGAATTAAACCAGGCCATCGCAGTCCCAATAACTCCCAAATTGTTGCCTAAAAGTTATAAATTATAATATTGCATTTATTATGTAATTAATGATATCATTATACACAATTACCTTTTGAAATACTTTCTCATTCATTCCAAAATACAATAATGCAGGAGATATAAGAGACATAATAAAAACACTAAAAAATCTTTTTTTTATTACAGTTGGATGTTCTCTGCAATAAAAAAAAATTTTGTATTTTATTAATCTTTGGTCTTTTTTTATGATATTTTTTAATTAAAATTTTTTTCCTTATGGAAAAATTCTGAGATAAAAATTTATAAAAATATAAAAAATGGACATTTAAAGATTGACATTTATGTTATATTAAATAAAAGAATTATAAAAATTTATTTTAAATATTGAAGAATATATAGGTAATTAGTTAAACAAGTGATGTCGATATTATTGACAGAAAATAATTATTGATAGTTCACACAATTGCTTTTAAATGACGCGCCAATTACAGAAGAAATTGAAGGAAAAAGTTCTCCAATAGAGGCGCTGTGAATTCGATTCTTGTCCAGAAAAGCGACTGCGTGAATCAGGAGAATCAAAGAGTAGACTTTCATGTTCTCGGTCGACGTGAATACAGTTACACTTTGTTCGTGGTTTCCTGTGGTTCACTGTTAAAGGACCGAGAGAGAGCATACACGATTACAGAAAATGGACATTTAAAGATTGACGTTTATGTTAGTTTGTTATCGTTGTTAATCGGTACATACCTACTGTACGGAGAATTCCATACATAGAGGCTCGCGACGTACATCACTGAGAGAACAAAACATGATAGAATTGCAGTTATGCAGGAGAAATCAGTATTTCGATCCGCAGTCTCCATAACTCCATACTGATGTTGGTTGCTTGTGTCGCGATCCATTGCAGAAGAGGGAATCGGTAAGGGGTAGAAGGCAAGAGAAGGATCGCATAGGAAAGAGGGAGGTCGGTGAGGAAAGAGGGGGAGAGCAGAAATTCATCCGATTGGCGGTCTGGCACTAGTCGGCAGTCCTACCGTCAATGAGAAGATGGCCGCTGGGCTCGGTGGAAGTGTCGCCATTGTTTAGTGTTTAGTTGTTTTACCGTTTCTCGCATAATTTTACGGGAAGCACGATAAAAATGCCAAGTGCGTCGTTCACATCATCGCGCAATTACGTGCGAAGATCCCGAAGAAAAGGTGCAAACAGGATTCCTCTTCCTTCGAGAACAACCTCGGGTAAGAGCCCTGCATCCGGAGCTCGGTTCACTACTCACCTGTCTCGACTCTCTTCTTTGCCTTCACCTACTTCGATATTCCTAGTTAATTATCCTAATAATTCTCTATAGTATCATTTAAATGATATTCTTCTCATTAATTATATTTTTATTTTCTGATCAAAATTCGTAAAACAATTCCGTCAAACCTACTGCCCACGTCTTCTCACACGATTTTCTCACACTCGGCATGGCCGAAAAACGTAGAACTGATACCTCAATGACGTTTCTCAAAATCAACATACGTTCGCTACTTTTATCACAATCCTTTTTTTTTGGAGACATCGATTATGATATCATATACTTCGCGATTGTCAATTTTTAGTCTGAAGAATGTCGACTCAAAATCTATTTCTTACCCCACCCCCTTTTTTTTTATAATTTTCATTTATTAGATATTTAGTTAAATCTATAACTGATACTTGCGTGATTTAAAAAAATAATATTTTCGTAATTTTAAGGTAGAAAATTATGTCTCTTTCACTTTGATATTATACACATTGCCTACAGATTTTGTATTAAATTAGAATAATGTTCCACTTTCTCAAAATAGTTTATAAACTCATAATACATTAATAGATCAATGTAGCTGTATTTTTTGAAAATAATAATGATATTTCTGTTATAAAAATTATAATTTAATAATTAATAATATATCAATATTGAATATGAAATATATACCTGTCATAAATTTTATAGTAGTTTCTCAAAACATATTTGTATTTTCTATCCTTATCTTAATCCTCTAAATGTTTCTTAAATCTATATTATGTTATTTATTTTGACATTTAATCAGTAATTTAAATATTAATATTTTATAAATGTTAAACTGTATAAATGTTATAAATGTTAAATTATATATATAGATTAATTTTGATCAAAACATTTTTATATAAAAATATTAAATAAATATATTTTTATAAAATAGAATATTAGAATATAATAATTAATTATATATACAAGATATGTATATTGAAGTTATTTTGAATTATTTATAATTTTGATAATTTATTTTTTTTAATGATATTATTAGTTCTTTTTATTTAAGATTATTGTGTTTTTTAGCCGAGCCATGCGATTTGCCATGTTCAGCATCAAATCAGATACCTCCTGGTGGTGGAGTTGGTGGTGGGGGAGGAGGAGGAGGTGGAGGTGGGGGTGGAAATGGTGGAAGAGGATCATCACCCAGTGTTTCTGGTGTTGCAGCACCATCGCCTTCTCCATCACATTCTCATTCATCTCCTTATGATTTAAGACGTAAAAGTCCACCTCATCCAGATCCTGCTCCTGGTACTAGCTCTGCCCTACCTCCTTCGGGTGGTAGTAGTATAGGAGCCACTCTAGGTTCTTCCTCTTTGCCAGCAAGAAAACGACCCAGACGGACTTGTTCATTGTCCACAGATGGTATATTTATTTTATTATATATATTATATATAAGATTAATGAAAATAATTTTTTTATTATAGAAAAAAAGAATTTTAAAATCCTTAATTATTTTACAGGTACAAATACAAATACTGCAGCACATTACCTTCAATATGAATTACCAGATGAAGTGCTGCTTACTATATTTAATTATCTAATGGAACAGGATTTATGTAGAGTTTCTCAAGTTTGCAAGCGTTTTCAAACAATTGCAAATGACACTGAACTGTGGAAGTCATTATACCAGCAAGTTTATGAATATGACTTACCACTATTTAATCCTGCACCTTGTAAATTTGAATTTGTATCACCAGATGAATCAGACTATCCAAATCCATGGAAAGAAAGCTTTAGACAATTATATAGAGGAGTACATGTTAGACCAGGATTTCAGGATTTGAAGTTTAAAGGTCGGAACTTGCCATACTTTAATACAGTTCAGGGAGCATTAGATTATGTAGATGAATTCAGAAGCAATAGCAGTTCCTCGACTAATAATAGCACAACTACAACTGGTCAAGGAAATTGTTGTGGAAATAATTCTCAAACAACAGAAGAAGCACCTCAACATTTAGTTTTCTTACATGCTGGCATATATAGAGGCGAATTTCTTGTAATCGACAGCGATGTTGCATTAATTGGAGCAGCACCCGGAAATGTTGCAGAATCTGTTATATTAGAAAGAGAAAGTGAATCTACAGTTATGTTTGTAGAAGGAGCAAAACGAGCTTATGCCGGCCACCTTACATTAAAATTTACCCCAGATGTTACTAGTACAGTACCACATCATAAACACTATTGTTTAGAAGTTGGTGAAAATTGCAGTCCTACAGTTGATCATTGTATAATTAGGAGTTCGAGTGTTGGTAAGTAATTCTATTGAGAAATAATTTTTTTATTATTTGCAAGTATTATTTGCAGGTTTCTTTTTTAAATTTATTATTGATTTTCTAATTTTTAGTTGGAGCAGCTGTTTGTGTGTCGGGTGTAGGAGCAAATCCTGTGGTAAAGAATTGTGACATATCGGATTGTGAAAACGTTGGACTTTATGTCACTGATTATGCTCAAGGAACTTATGAAGATAATGAAATTTCTAGAAATGCATTAGCTGGAATTTGGGTGAAAAATTATGCAAATCCAATTATGAGAAGGAATCATATTCATCATGGGAGGGACGTCGGAATCTTTACGTTTGATAATGGTCTTGGATATTTCGAAGCTAATGATATTCATAACAATCGAATAGCAGGTTTTGAAGTAAAAGCTGGTGCTAATCCAACGGTTGTGCATTGTGAAATACACCATGGCCAAACAGGTGGAATATATGTCCATGAAAATGGCTTAGGACAATTTATCGACAACAAAATTCATTCGAATAATTTCGCCGGCGTTTGGATTACTTCCAATTCAAACCCAACTATTCGCAGAAATGAAATTTATAATGGTCATCAAGGAGGAGTATATATATTTGGAGAAGGAAGGGGCTTAATCGAACATAATAATATTTATGGTAATGCCTTAGCTGGTATACAGATTAGAACAAATTCGGATCCTATTGTTAGACATAATAAAATACATCATGGTCAACATGGTGGTATATACGTTCATGAAAAAGGACAAGGTTTAATTGAAGAGAACGAAGTGTATGCAAATACATTAGCAGGTGTTTGGATAACTACAGGATCGACACCAGTATTAAGAAGAAATCGTATCCATAGTGGAAAACAAGTTGGAGTTTATTTTTATGATAATGGACATGGAAAATTAGAAGACAATGATATTTTCAATCATTTGTATTCAGGAGTACAAATAAGGTAAAATATTGTATAATAAAAAAAATTTTATTTTTGTATATTAATCGTTTTATAATATTAGGACTGGAAGTAATCCAGTAATACGTGGAAATAAAATATGGGGTGGACAAAACGGTGGCGTTCTTGTGTATAATAGTGGTTTAGGCTTACTGGAACAAAATGAAATTTTTGATAATGCAATGGCAGGAGTTTGGATTAAAACAGATAGTAATCCTACATTAAAAAGAAACAAAATATTTGATGGCAGAGATGGTGGAATTTGTATATTTAATGGTGGCAAAGGTAAGTTTTATTTTTATATAATTTTAGCAAATATATTATATAATTAAAATAATTTTTTTTTCATTTCTAATCATATAGGTGTTCTTGAAGAGAATGATATATTTCGTAATGCTCAAGCTGGTGTGCTTATTTCTACACAATCACATCCTGTCTTAAGGAGAAACCGAATTTTTGATGGATTAGCAGCCGGCGTTGAAATAACAAACAATGCGACAGCTACATTAGAATTTAATCAAATTTTTAATAATAGATTCGGTGGTCTATGTTTAGCAAGCGGAGTACAACCAACAACTAGAGGTCTATTTTTTTTTTTTTTTTTTTTTTTTTTTTTTTTNTTTTTTTTTTTTTTTTTTTTTTTTTTTACAATGACAATTAAAAAAGTAGACAATCATTATATCATCATTTTTTTTATCATTTTTTAGGCAATAAAATATTTAATAATCAAGATGCGGTTGAAAAAGCAGTTGGAAATGGTCAATGTTTATACAAAATTTCGTCATATACTTCTTTTCCTATGCACGATTTCTATCGTTGTCAAACATGCAATACAACAGATCGCAATGCAATTTGCGTAAATTGTATAAAAACTTGTCATGCTGGACACGATGTGGAATTCATTAGACACGATCGGTAAATAATTGATAATATTAAATATTTTATAATACTATTATAAAATTGCATATGAAAAATTGATAATTGATATACATTTTCAGATTCTTTTGTGACTGTGGTGCTGGAACATTAAGTAATCAGTGTCAACTTCAGGGTGAACCTACGCAAGATACAGATACATTGTATGATAGTGCGGCACCAATGGAGTCACATACACTTATGGTCAACTAGGAACTAACGTAAACTAAATAAAATAATCAATCGACATTGAATCTGTAAGTCCAACATATTGCAAACAAGAAAATAATTTGTTGCAGAGTTCTTTATTATGACACTTATTTTTTCGTGTCCCTAATTGTGATTGTTATTTTGTAAAGCTATCGTTATTGTTAACATATTTCAATTAACAATAATTTCATTGCATCATTACTATTATCATTATCATTTTCGTTACTCGTTTCACTTTCATTATCACGGTAATTAAAATTATCACAATCATTTTCAT